TCCTTTCTTCCTTCCTCCCTCCCTCCCTCCCTTCCTTTCTTCCTTCCTTTCCTTCCTTTCCTTCCTTTCCTTCTAGAGACAAGGTCTTGCTCTACCACCCAGGCTGCACTGCAGTGATGAGATGAGAGCTCACTGAAACTTCCAACTCCTGGGCTCAAGCCTCAAGCAATCTTCCTATCTTAGCCTCCCAACTAGCTTGCACTATGGGTACACACCACCATGCCCAGCTAACGTTCTTATTTTTTTAAGAGATGGGATCTTGCTATATTGTCCAGGTTGGCCTCTAATTCCTGGCTTCTAGTGATACTCCTGCCTCAGTGAGCCACTGCACTTGGCAAAATGTCTTTTTATAATGAGGTTCTGAATGAAGCTGGACTGCAACGGGGCATCTAATAGACATGTGTACAAACAAATAAAGCCAGAGGTAGAGAGATCCATCTACCTACCACAGGAGTCCAGGTAATATATGATGATGAGAAAAGATAACCTGAGAAACATTTAGAAACATTTATAAAGGCAGTAAGACCTGATGATTAATGAGAAGTTCTGGGTGAAGAAGTCCAGAAGGAGGCATAGGTGAATAGATACATTCTGTTGTCACCAACTCCAGAGGGAACCGGAGGGGCATGCTTTAGTTGGGGCAGAGATAGGGAAGAATGCACAGAGCATCTAACCTGGGCATGAGAACATGGGGAGGGTCAGAATGCCTTCCTGGGGAAGGCGACCAGGAGAAGAGTTTGCATGTTATTTAGCAAGTCAGCCCTTTCTTATTGGTTGTATGGATACATTGGGTCAGAATGCCTTCCAGGGGGAGGTGATGGGGAGAAGAGTTTGCATGTAATGTAGCTAGTCAGCCCTTTCTTATTAGTTGTATGGATACATTTATGAGTGTGCACAAGTTCATGGCCCACGGGGAAGTGCAATGCAGTTTTGACCTCCCAAATTGCCAAGTGAACAGACTGATGAAGTTTATTAACTGGAAACAGTAAAGCAGTTTTCCAGGGGCTGCTGTATACTGATTTCTTACTTAAGGGATCCTTTTAGAGACCTGTCTGGTCACTTTAGATTTTGAAAAACTGTAAACAAAGCTTCAATTTATGGTTTTACAAACTACAGACCATGCTATGCAGGACAGTGGGCATGTACTTGTTCTGAAGACTAAAGACCACCAAACAGCATTTTTCTTGGGCTAACTTGGGCCACTCCCAGTTAAAACGCACCACTCTGGGCCTCGTGGAAGATTGGGGCAGCTGTGTTTGCCATATTTAGGGTTTCACAGATTGCCACGTGCTGGGATTTTTTTCTGGTTTCTTTTGTTAAACAGTGGTAAAGCTCGTTGCCTTGTGCAATGTGTTTCACATGAGGCTGAGATAATTCAGCCTCTGTGATAGTGCAGTATCAATAATAAAGAGGGTGTAGGGCTGTTGGAAGGATAAAATTGGACAACGAAAGTAAAGAACTTAGCATAGTGCCTGCCTGGTGGTTAGTGACCACCACGTTGTTATTATTATTATCCAGCTGTATTGAGTTTAGTCACTAGCTCAGAGGTCGTTTATCAGAGGCTGGAGGAGACAGGACAGGTTGTTACCAGACAGAAGAATCAGCCTGTGTATCTGCGACTTGGAAGGACACCCAAAGGGGAGCAAACGCTGAGAAAGATTTTGTTAAACGTATATCCCCCTACCTGCTGGGAGAAACAGGACCTAGCCGACTGTTCTGTGTAACCAAATGAAGGACCTTCAAAAACTGCCGTGGGTAGTTTGAGAACCTCCCGAAGGAACTGGTCGTACCGTCCATAAACCATCACCCCACTGGAGTCGGAAATCATTGAGAAAATATCTGATGGGAAAAAAAAGGGAAGATATTTATTCATCACACATGAACATTCTCCACTGTTTCTGCTGAACACAGCTGCTGGAAAAAAATGGGGCAGAATAAATATATTTTTAAATGAAAGAATAATAAAAAAGCTAAATTTTACACTGAAATATTCCTGGTTTGGTGTTTTCTGAGTTTTTTGGAAGATGATTCTGGCACATAGCATTAACAAGTAATTTGGATAAAATGAACACATTTTGGTAAGACAGAGGACATCATGTTTTTGTCTTGAGGTCAATTATCAATCACATATAACTCAATTGGATATATTTTTTATATGGGAAAAAATATGCTGACCTTATTTGAAACACAATGAAAGTTTTACTACAAAGGTGGGGTGTGTGTACCTATCTATCTAGCAAATGATCCATCTATATTATCACTAATGCTTGGATTTTGGTTTAAGATATTTGAAAAATGAAAGACTCGATGGAGATACAGGTGTCATGAAAAACACACGATTAATTATCTACAGAAGCAGAAAACTTTCATTGTGTTTCGGGCAGAAGGCACTTGATTTAGAGGAAGGGTCTCAACAAGTGAAGAGAAAGCCTGGCCTTGTGGGTGATCAGTGGGGTAAAACCAGGGTCCTGGGATGATTCTCTGAGGAACCCGTGACTTCACTGAATCTCTGTTCTTCAGTTTCTGCCACTGTGCACACTTCATGAATATTAATGGTGTAATTCCCCAAGGTACTTTGAAATTCCTCTGTGGAAATCTCTACTGGAATGGAACAGTTTGCTATGATATAGGTTTTCACGGGGCTGACTACATTGTCACTTGGCCCACATGGCTGCTGCAATAAGCTGCTGTGAGTTCCATGCTCGACCTCCGTTCATGTTGGGTTTAATTTTCAAGATCAAAATGTAATCTGGAGACACTGTTTCCACACTGAAGTCAGAAGTTAAGCACATCACAGGCTTTTCTTGGATTATGTTTTGACAGTATGAATTGACTCTTGATTAAATACTCAAGTTATAAAGAGTTTCTACTATGTTTCAAATGGATTATTAATCCTGAGCCTGTAGAAATTCTATTGGAACAAAAGAATTAACGTTCTCATTCATCTCCACAAGGCTGTTTACTTGAATTTTATCTCTTATGTTCCATGGTAACTGGACAAACAAAAGAAAAGTTGCCAACAGCAAAAAATTGTTATGTAATTCCAAATATAGAAACTCAAGAATTTCAACTGCAAGGGAGGAAGAGAAACCCGGGAAGAGTAAATCGACTTTCTTGTGAGAGCTGCCATCTTGTTCTGGGGCGGGTTGCTTGGTGAGAACAGGGACAGTGTAATTACCTTCTGGGCTCTGGCTTTCTAGGTCAGGGCACAGTTTGGAAAGGAGCCTGGGCTTTTCAAATTTCCTACTGAAAGAATGTAGACAACCCCAGAGCAGCAGCCAGAAGGAGAACCAAGAAGGACCCTTCACAAACCTGAAACTAATATTAAAACCATTTGTGCTGATGAAGGCCTGTTAAGCACCAGCCAAACTAAGGCTAGACTGCTGGGATTAAAGGCAGAGGCTGTTAGAAGCCACTCAGGTTTTTTGTTTTGTTTTTTTTTACCTTTTGTTTAGTCATACACACATAGATCATGGATACATGTATGCATCTGTGAGGTACAATGTGTTGATTTTGTATACAATTTGGAATGCTTACATCCAACTAATTAATATAGCTTTCACCTCAAGAAATGAAGAGACTCTAAGGAAGCTATCAAAATGATATGGGTTGTAACTGAGCTCTGAGCCCTCTGTATATACCACACTGACACATACACACATAAGTAATACGCCCATAATATATGTGTATATATTATTAGATACAATAGAAGGTTATGTCAAGGGCAGAATTAGTGAACAGAGTAAACCTCTCACACTAGGGCTTGGCACGTAGAACATGGTGCAGAAATGTCAGCTGTGTCTACCGTTCATTCCATATTGCATTATTCTGTCGTCTCCTTCAGATGTTTAGGCTTCGCCTTCCCAATGAGCTTGTTCTATCAGGGTCCAGACTGTATTCTAAGCCACAGATACTTTAGAAGGCTCTACATTCATCAATTTATCCAACTAACATTGACTTAGCACATAGTAAAGGGGTGAAACCGTGCTAAGTGATCAATGTCCAGAAAAAGTAGGGCGTAGTTCTGGGCCTCTGGGAAGCCCTAGATTATTAAGGGCGAGAGAGGGGTGCACACATGAGGCATCCCAGAGCTCCCCATGTGAGAATACTGTGTGGCATGAGCCCTGGAGCAGGGGGTGTATAGGAAGCAGAAGAGCCAGAGAGCAGGTCCCCGGGAGAAGTGCATGAGGAAAGAATTCTAGGCCAAGTACAAAGACTACTCAGATAGAGACAAGGGGTGGGTTTTGGTAAATACGACTGGGATGTGCACAGGCAGAGGAATGAGGCAAGCACTCGAGGGTCTCCAGGAGTCCTCTGTGGCAGGCCCTGGGTGCCCAGAAAGGCATGGTGGGAGGGAAGGCGGAGATATGATGAGCTCTAAAAGCTCTATTAAGGCATTTATTTATTTGTTCCTCTTTTTATTCTCTTTCTTTTATATAACCTTTTCCATTTTTAGATGAAGTGTAATAATTGTGCATAGGTGTGGAATACAGAATGATCCTTCAATACATGTACACAAGGTGTAACGACCGTATCGGGGTTATGAACACATCCATCACCTCGCACACATGTCATTTCTTTGTGTGGGGGAGTGTTCAAAGCCTTCCTTGTAGCTTTTGACAATACACGATACCTTGTCAACCATAGTCACCCTGCAGAGCTATCAAACACCAGAACTTCTTCCTTCTCTCTAGCTGGGCTTTCCTATCTGCTAACCACCCTCTCACTAGGCTCTCCTCCCCCTGCTCTGCCAGGCCTCTAATAATCACAGTTCTCTCTTTATGAGTTCGGTTTGAGTAGCTCCCACGTATGGATGAGAACATGTAGCATTTATCTTTCTGCGCCTGACTTGTCTCACTTAACAGAACATCCTCCCGATTCACCCATGTTGCCACCAATGACAAAATTTAATTCTTCTCGTAGGGTCGAATTCTACTGAGGGGTTTAGATCGTGTCCAGAAATGTAGACAGAGATACTGAAAAACTTAAAGCCGGCCAATGCGTTAGAAACGTTACCCTGGGGGCAGGCTTGGGGGCAGAACAACTAGGTCTGTAATAGAAAAATCAATAAACACATGGTGTTCGCCATAATACTAGTCTTTTAAACAAAATAAAATAAGTCCTCCCAAAGCATTAGAATAGCACATGACATTCCAGCCTCAGAGCATGGAATTTAGAATTTTTAAAAATCCTTATGATTATCCAGGAGCCCCGAGGCAGAAGTATAAGCAAGTGTCCCAAGCCATTAAAACAAGTTTATAATCAGGCCAAGAGCAATCTGACAGAAGAGCAGTATACATCAGGTCAGTTTATCTTTAGGTTGCGACGGTCCACACAGCAGAAGGCACCCTTCACATCCCAGGCTGTGTCCGCGCCGCTCTCTGGAGTGACACCAAGAACGCCCTGCACGCTAGTTGATGGCAGCCCTGAGGACTGGAAATTGTGGTACAATATGGCGACGTTGTTTAATGCATTTTAAAGCATTTTTAAAAAAACAGCTTCAAATTTTCTGTTGCCGCCTCCTTTCTTTTGTTTTGTTTTCTAATTTATTTTCAGCCAGTTACTCTTGCTCAGGGCTAACAATAAGGACTAGTTGGAACAAACTATATCTCCTTCTCCCCCTATGCACAAAAATAGAAGAATCGCCCAACAAGCCCAACTGGTGTAATGGCTTAAAAGGAGTCCGAAAAATTTAAAGAAGAGCAAAACAAAACCCTCCAACCCTGCCGAATTCCATTTCCCTTCATCTCAAGTTTTCTAATTACAAAATCCGTGCAGAAAATGACCGCCTGGCCTGCTTTATCATTCCAATGCAAGGCAGCAAAGGAGACTATGACACACCCACATTTCCACTCATCAAGGGGCAGCCACCGCTGTAGGTGGGTGGGTTTTGTGGGTAGATTTTCTCATATTTGCTTATTCAGTCAATAATTACCACTGAAATTAAAAATACTGATGTGTGTGTATATATATGTGTGGGTGTGTCCACACACAAGGTGGACACGAAGTTAGCATGCAATTTACTATGTGAAACTATTTTAAATTGCAGTGAACTTTACATATACTCATACAGATAGACAGATATATATATTTTGAGACAAGGTCTTGCTCTGTTGCCTAGGCGTGAGTGCAGTGATGTCATCACAGCTCACTGCAACCTTAACCTCCCGGGCTCAAGCCATCCTCCTGCCTCCAAGTAACTGGGACTACAGGGGCCTCGCTAGGATATTCATTTTTGATGAACTAACATCCTAGAGAGATTCTTCCAACCAAACTGTTTTTAGCTAAATTACTTTTGTTCAAATTGCTTTCTACCAAGTTACCAGGAAACCACTCAAACTATCCCCTGGGAATTAACTATGGGAAGAGTGACTCCCAGTCACAGAACCAGAGGCTGGGCTTCAGGTTTATGGCTTTTGAAGGGGGGATGGGCGATACTGAGGTCCCGCCACCTGCTTTACTACAGAATGTGTGACATTGTTGATGTTCAGGTTTTGCAGACTGAAAAAGAGTTCACCTCCCACGAGACTCATGCAGTTTTGCTGTTTCACTGCGCTGAGAGGACAGACTTTGGCCACTGGAGAGCACACGTGCTTTTCTCACTGTGTCTCTCCCAGGGTGCTGGGACGGGCCAGTGGAAAGCTGGCAGCAGTTATCGTGGGCTTTGAACTCCCGGACCCGTCAGAGAACCGCATAGGTTCTGCTAGCTGGCAAAGATCTGCTCCAAAACTCTTAGTTCTACCTCAAGCTACGCAGCTGTACTGACATTGCTAGTTCCTGACCGAATAGCCATTTCCTTCCTTCATCTGTATTGGTCCCAAATTTGTTCTTGGGCCATGGGAAAGACGTGACCTTTCTAGCCCGGGTGGAGAAAGTGGCTCTGTGGTCACTGCTGTCCTCTCTTTCCTCTCACCAGCAACTGGTTCAGGTATTGGATTGGGATGGCACCCTAGACAACCAGACTTGAGGGCTAGGGGGCCTCCGGAGTTAGATGTGACTCCTGAGAGTGCTGCTCCCCATCTCACCCACAGAAGGAGGATGAAGTCTGCCCCTAGGACAGCTGGGTGGAAAGATGCCACCACCCAGGACCTGGAGGGTTCAGAACTAACCTGGCTCATTAAAGGCTCAGAGGAGCACTGAAGTGCAGGAAAATGGCTTTCTCCGTTGTCATCAAACTTATTCTAATATGAGACGCTTTTATATAGGTACCTGTTAAATACTGAATAAGTATTTGGAAATGTTCCTCAAGATTTCATGTCCTCACCATCCATGGCCAGCTGCGACGTGAGCTCACAGGCAAAAAAGCCCTCAGGACTTTCTGCCTTTGCTTTCGTTCATTTTGCTAAACTTTCTCTTCCTAGCATAACCCTGAAGGAAACGCCTTCTGGATTGCTCTGATGCTGATTTTTATTTTGTAGATTTTTTTACAGGTAGAGTCTTGCTTTATTGTCCAGGTCAGAGGGCAGTGAGTGGTACAGTCAGCTCACTGCAGCAGTGATTTTCTACCAGTGTGCTGAGGAGGACCTCAGGTGTGCTGTGAAAATATTTAGAGATCACTCATTAAATTATTTTCTCTTTCTTTTTTTTTT